AACGACTAGAATAAATTGTCTATCAAAAGTTTTCTTTCCTAGTAATCAAGGTCATCGAATCCTTCGGAAAACTTCAGCACCAGACTCGTCCATGCTACGGTTGAAAGGCTGAAATTGTAACGAAGCTTTAGTATTCGCCTAAGACGTTGCTTACGGAAAATACATGGATATTCATAGCTAGAAAGTAAGTATCTCCTACACATTTGAGCAGCTTGCCTCGCTAGACATTTAAAGGGCTGTTAACTTTAAACGATAGGATAAGGACCAGTGGGTCATCATATTTAAGGGAAATCATTTGCAATGACGTAAAACGATGCAAAGAAATAAGGAAATAGAATACGAGCATTGAAAGGAGGACAGATTCCGTAATGCTTGATAGAAAAATTTGAGGGCAGAAGGACAGTGATAGCACATTTGGACAGAAAGACTGCAGACGACTAAAGACAAATGTCATATACTTCGTTATTCCAGTTTATGTGCTAAACAGAAACTAGCGTTTACTGGTGGTAAGAATAAGAGAAGATCCAAATATTCTAAACGGGATGTCATAAAATGGACAGAAATGAAAATACATTCAAGCCACGATATCCGAGGCGGCATGAACACTGCATCATACTGTCAACTCTGTAAAAATATGGCTGCTGTTGCACCGTTATTTCCAGTCCATAATGCGGAAAAAATAAATTCGCAGAAGTAGAGCAAAATGAGTAATATTCCATCCAATAAAACTTGGTAGATTTTACCAAAAAGCAGTTAAGCCATCACTAAACGTTTAGTTGATAATATTCCTAAATAATTCCTAAATTACTTATAGTCGTCCCAGCAATTTGGAAAGATACAATAATATACAGCAAACAAAAGGAAAAGAGAAAACCTTAACAATTTTGTACGTATCCTGTACGTGAATTCTTGAGGATCTTACAGAATTCGTATCAGGTGAGGCAGTAAAAGCGATTTAATTTAATTAGAAAACGGACATTTAATCGAGAAAGTCGATACGAATGAAATAAGGATTACAGCAATTCTTTATTGGATGAGATCGCATAAA